AATATAGGAGCAGAAGTAAGCCTTTTGGCTAACGGAGTCCACTTCACCATTCAATGAATCATAGAATCAAAGATTCCCCACAGTGCAGATAGAAGCCATTCAGCCCACCAAGTGTGCAACGACACTCCCTGAAGAGCATCCCAGTCGACCCACTAACCCGTTCTATTTCTGTAACCCCACATCAACAATGACTAAGCCGTGTCGTCTGCACATCCCTACATGCTACAGGGCAATTTAGCATGGCTAATCTACCTAAGTTGTACACCTTTGGACTGTGGGAGGAAACCTGAACACCCAGAGGAAATCCATGCAGACATGTGGAAACATGCAAACTCAACACAGACAGTCACCCAGAGCTGGAATCGAACTCCCGTCCCTGTTGTTGTGAGGCAGTAGTGCTAACCACTGTGCCACCCATAACAGATCGTGGCTGATCTGATAATCCTCAATTTATCCCCATAACCTTTGATTGCTTTACTGATAAAAATTTGTCTATCTCAACCTTTAACAATGCAGCCTCAACAACTCTGCAGAAAATAATTCTACAGAATCATCACCCTCTGAGAAAATACAATCTGCTTCATCTCCGCCTTAAATTGGCAACTGCTTACTCGGAGATTATGCCTTCTCATTCTAAACTCTCCCAGAGGGGGGAACAACCTTTCTACATCTGTTCTGTGAAGCCTTCTAAAAATGTTCTATGTTCTATTAAGATATCCTCTAATTTTTCTAAACTTCAACTAGTACAAGTCCAACCTACTCAACCTCTCCTTATAAGGAAATACCTCTATACCTGGTATCAGCCCAGTGAACTTTCTCTAGACAGCCTGAAATGTCAGTTTATCTTGCCTTAGATAGGGGACCCAAAACTGTTACTGTATTCCAGCTGTGGTCTGACCAGATTCCTTGTATAATTTTGGTAAGACCTCCCTATTTTTATACTCCCTTCCCTTTGAAATGAAGCCCAACATTCCAGCTGCCTTCTTTATTACCAGCTGAACTTGGAGGTTAGTTTTTTGTGCTTTATACACTAGAACTCCCAAAGCTCTCTGTACTGCAGCTTTTTGCAGTCTTTTCCCTTTTAAATAATATTTAGCTCCTTTATTCTTCCTGTCAAAGTGCATAAAGCTCACATTATATATTTTTACTTAACTTATTTTTCTAATCAACCTGTTCAGAGATGTTACTACACACCTCTGAAGCAGGTGAGATGTGAATCCATCTCAGAGTTAGGGACACTTCCACCGTGCCACAACCTCACATTATATTCCGTCTACCAAATTTTTGCCAACTTTCAAACTGGCTATATTCCTCTGCAGGCTCTTTGTGTCACCCTCACTACTTGCCTTCCCACATACTTTTGTTTCATCCACAAATTTGGGCGATAGCACATTCACTTTTGCCACCTAAGTCATGAATATATATTATAAGTGATTGTGCTCTCAGCACTAATCTCTGTGGCAATCCACTAGTTACAAGCTGCTATACTGAAAACATCCCCTTTATTACAACTCTTTGTTTTCTATTAGCAAATCTGCTGTACTACCCTGAACTACCCTGTTCTTACCTTATTAAGTAGCCTTATGTGCACGATGTTATTGAATGGCTTTTGGAAATCCTAATATATTACAGTTACAAGTTTCCTTTATGCATTCTTCCTGTTACCTTCTCAAAGAACTCCAAAACATTTATAATAAATATGATTTCCATGAACACCTGTTGACTTTCGTTGATCATATGATGCAATTCTAAATGCTCTACTACTACATCCTCTAATGTTTTCCTCATGACAGGTGTTAAGCTAACTGGCTTACAATTACGCGCTTTTGTCTCCTTCCTTTGAATAAGGATGTTACATTGGCAGTTTTCCAATCTTTTCAAGAATCTAAAGATTATTGGAAGATTACTTCCAGCACATCCACTATCTTTGTCGCTACTTCTTTTAAAATCTTAGGACACAACTGATCAGGTCCAGGTGACTTATATGTCTTTAGCCCCATTATCTTCCTAGTACATTTTATCAAATGATAATTATCATGTTTTGCGCTTCCTCCCTCTCCACCCTTAGCCCTTGATTATTTGGTATTTTTGTAATGCTATTAGTATCCGCAATTGTGATGATTGATGCAAAGTGTTCATTCAAATCCTGTGCCATTGCCTAGCTCCCCCACTATCAATTCCCAAGCCTCATTCACTAAGGCCTCTGTTCACTGTTGCCTCTACCTTCCTTTTTATAAATTTTAATAAGTTTCTGTCTGTTTTTTATGTTAATTGCTAGTTTGTCCTCAGTTTGTTTTCTCTTTCACTCCTTTTTTTCAGTTATCTTTTGTTGGGTTTTAAAACTTTTCTTTTCCAAACCTCTGATTTACCAATAATTTTTGTCATATTGTACATTTTTCTTTCAATCTGACACTGTCTTTAATTTAGAGATAGTAGGACTGCAGATGCTGGAGAATCTGAGATAACAAGGTGTAGAGCTGGATGAACACAGCAGGCCAAGCAGCATCAGAGGAGCAGGAAAGCTGACGTTTCGGGCCTAGATCCTTCTTCAGAAAATTCTGGTTAATGAAGGCCAGTTTATCCCCTTCTTCACATATCCTTGCTGAGTAATGAACTTTTCTTTTTTAAAATGTCTGCCATTGTTCATCCACTATCTTTACAACCAAGCTCCCTTCCAAATTCACTCCAGTGAACTCTGCCCTCATTCTCATGTAATTACTCTTACTTAATTTTAACACAATTGTTTCTCACCCATGTTTCTCACTCTCAAGTTGAATGCCAAATTATACCCTGTTATGGTCACTGTTCTCAAGGGGATCTTTTATTCTATGATAATTTATTAAACATAACTCATGACGAATTACAGACTTAAAACAGCCTGATCCCTGGTTGGATCCACAACATATTGTTCTAGGGAAACTATCCCGAATGTACTGTGTGAACTCTTCCTCATGGCTCCCTCTGCTAATTTGATTTTTCCCACTCTATATGAAGATTAAGGTTACCCACGTATAATGCACTGTCTTTTTTAACATGCCCTCATTGTGTTCTGATTTATTTTTGGTCCCGCAGAACAGGTTCTATCAAAGTGCCTACAGACTACTCCCACCATGTCTTCTTCCCCTTATCTCTTATCTGCACCCATGTAGATTCTACATCATCCAATCCAAAATCATTTCTTACCAACGTAATAATTTCATCTCATACTGACAAAGGCACCGCCACCATTCCCTCTCTGCCTCTGTCCTTTTGAAAGGTTCCATATCCCCAAATGTTAAGTTCTCAGCTTCGATCTCCTTGCAACCATTTCTCCATAATGGCTAAAAGATCATACCCATTAACCTCTATTTATGGAGGTAATTGATTTTTTTGTGCTAAATACAACATACTTTCAAATAAAGAACCATTAGTTCTGCCTGATTACCTTTTGTCCCTATTTGCCACTTTTTTTTATGCTCGCATTCTCTTTCCCTTACTGTCCCACTCTGTGTATGAGTGTCAAGATAGTTGTCCTGCAATACCGTCATATCCTTTTGCCTACAAGCCTACACTTCCCTTCTTTTAAACATCCCTTCCACTCAAATTAGTTTAGCCCTGCCTACAGCCCTAGTAGTTGATTTACCAGGTCCCAGCATGGTTCAAATGAAGACTGCTCACTGGATCAGCTAGCCTGATACTGGTGCCAGTGCCCCATGAACAAACTGAATTCCTTCTACACCAATCTTATTATTTATTTATCCTATGCAAATTTGCCCATAGTAATCTAAGATTGTCACTTTGGAGTTTCTGCATTTTAGTTTAGCTGCTAACTATTAAAAATCTTTCAGCTGAACCTCCTGTCCACTTCTATCAATGTTGTCAGTACCAAAGTGGATGACAACAACTGGATCTTCCCCTATCCCTCCAAGTTCCTCTCCAGCCCTGAAGAAATGTCCTTATCTCTGGCAACAGGCAGGCATCACAGCCTTCACACTCATGTCTGTAGAGAGCAGTATCTATACCCCTTATCACACTATCCCCCTAATAATCGTATAAACATATTTTATCTGTGGGGTGAAAAGTATTTTTCTGGGTAACTGTAGAAATGACCATGCGTTATTTTATCATAAGGGCACTGAACTTCGATCTTGATCATCTTCAATTTGTTAAAAGTATGGGACACAATTTTCCCTTCTCTGGAGGAGGCAGGACAGGAAATAATTGGGCAAGTTGACCCTAAAATAAAATACCATCTCCACACTCATTGCTGCCTTACCAATTAAATGTTGGGTGAGAAAGTCCATTGGTAATTCTTGACTTGCCAGCACTTAAGGCTCATGTGGTCAATTAATGGCTACTTATGGGCCTGAATTCTGGTTTGCCTACTGGGTAACCAGGGCGACCTGCCTGCAGGGTTGATGGGTCTCCATTTTCCCTAATCTGGGATGATCAGAGGCACGAATTAGGGACAAAAGGATTGCCTCTGAAATTCACCTCTTTCTTTTGCCTGACCCTCCTTCAGTCTACAGTCCCCATCCTGTGAGAAGCAAAGAAAACAAAGGTATATCTTCTCACTGTTGGTTGCCCCGAAGAGTAAGCTTCAACTGACTTTCTTCAGAAACCAAAAGCTGCCAGCCTCTAAAGAGCAGGTCACTTCTACAGAACTAGGATTCCATCGTTAAGGATTGTGATTCACTGAGAAGCTTGCCAGGTAGCTCTTAATAAGTTATTGCCATCCAGCCCGGTGAGCTTTTTTGGTGATGGGAGTGGCAAGTTAGCCAACAACTAATATACCTGTTCTCACATGTGGTCAGACAAAAGGAATATAATTCCTAGGTATTGAGTACATCCTCGTGGGCACACAAAATTACTGTTTAATATATTGTTTCTGTTTATATAAAAAAGGATAAAATATTTGTAGAACCTTTCAAATGTAGGAAACAAAATTATTCAGATAAAGATTTATATCTATTGATTGCCCATTTTTTTGTCTGCTGCAAGTAGTTTTATTTACTACTTACATATTCTGTTGCTGTTTGGTCTGCAATCCGATTAGTTTCACAAAGAAATTGAGCTTTCGCTACATCCCCAAGTGCAGCAAAGCATCTAGAAAACAGGAACATGTATTGAGATTGAGGACTCAATTTCCTTTTTAGCTGGTTTTATTTTATGCTTTTGAGCAATTTCTAACACATTATATTGCTCGTTGTGACAATTAAGCATTTTAGACATAACAAAGACTATAGGCTTTGACAACATCCTGCATATTGTGCTGCAGACCTGTGCAGGACTAGCTACACGCCTCAACAGGCAGTTTCAATACAGCTACAATATTGGCATCCAGTCGACAAGTTGGAAGTTTGTTTAGCCATAGCCATGAAAAGAATTCACCCAAGTACTAACCTATCCATTCCCTTATTTGACAGATTTGCATTAGATGAGCATTTTTTCCACTTCAACCCACCAAAGAAAGTGAACAAAGGTTCTATTTCACAGCAAAATGAATTGACCTAAATTCACAAATGCTTACATTTTCAATTACAAGGGTCTTTTTGTCCTATAAATTATAGGACACTATTTCTAGATTGAACATTCAAAATTCATTCACTTCGATTTTTCACTCAGATAAGGAGTTCAGAACAGATTTGAATTCAGAATATTTGAAGTTTATTTTTAGATAAATCTTATTATTCATGAATTGCAAACTGTCCACATATGACATAAGCCACACGTGTCTTATGTGCAATTTATTCACCCTACGACAGTGAAACAACAACACTGTAATAAAGGATAAAGAATACGTAGTCCTAGATTTAGCTCAGCTGAGGGGAACTGTGCTGCACAAATCAAATCTGTTCTAATAATATAATCACAACTGTGTGGTAGCAGACAAGTTATTCAAAAATTATTTGACTTGGTATCCTGGATGGAGAAAAGGAAAATTGGCAGGGTTTTGCACTTCTGGTGTCCTTGCTGGAGATTCACATGTGTGCACATCTAATGGCAGCATTATGTTTGACAGTGATGCCTTTCCTGGCAAGGTCAAATGATGGGCAATCAATCACTATTTAGGATCATATTTGAAAGGCTTCTTAGGTAAGGTGGCCAAAGGAATGAGCCTTGTGGATTTGTATCCATTCGTTCTTATTTTACACCTTATCTCGTCACACTTTAGTAGTAAAGAAGCAGCAGTGTCACAACATCACAAGAATGCACTTCTTAATGATTTCCGTGGATCAGATCCACCCATTTATTTCATCGTATTACATGAAAAAGAAGCCATTCCTCTTTGGTTCCCCTACAACAAACCATCATTACCTTTCTGCAATATGCAACTGCTGGGCTTCTAATGAAAGCTTGCTTAATGTTTTCCACATAGCTTCAGTCTCAGATGACATTTCCAATGTTTCCAAGAAAGCAGTGGCTCTGAAAAAAAAATCAATACCTATAAACATCACACTGAAAGAAATGCAGCAAAATATTTTTCCATACATTGGGCAGAATTTTACAGCAACCAGCCAGTTGAGACTGAGAAGGAGTCTGCCCCTCACACAGCCATAACATGCTGCAAGTTGTAAACTGGTGGAGAATGGGAATTTTGTCCCTCAGTGAGGATCCAATGGACCTGCTGATCAATCTAGTCCTGTTGGCACCAAGGGCTTATTAATGGATACTGCTGGGATTGCAGGAAGGAGTACAAAGAGAGCCGAATGGATCCCTGGAGTGAGGTCAGTCTAGGGTCTTGAACTGGAATGGTTTAGCTAGATATGGGGTGGGGGAGGGAGCTCCGAGTTTGATGGGGTAGATTTTGGAGAGCAGGCAGATTAAAAGGAAAGGGTGGTTGTCATGGGAACACAGTGGTATGTTGAAATGGCAGGCAGCTGAAAGTTCGGGGTCATATTTATGGACAGAGCTTAGGTGTTCTGCAAAGCAGTCAATCCGTCTGCATTCTACACTGCAGTCTCCATTACAAACCCATCAACTCCCAGAGTTACCTGGACTATACATTTTCACACCCTGCTTTCTGTAAGGACTCCACCCCAGTTTCTCCATCTCTGTTGCATTTGTCTTGATGATACCACCTTTCACAGGGGGCGCCTTCAGAAATGTTTTTTTTTCTCAACTGAGGAGACTCCACTTCCATCTCCAGCAATCTGCTTACCTGTTTCCCACCTACTGAAGAAACAACTTTAATGTTTACACCACCTTTTCCTAAGTGTTATCAGCTCTGATGAAGAGTCACCGGGCTTGAAACGTTAACTTTGCTTTCTTCCCAAAGATGCTGCCAGACCTGCGGTGTTTTTCCAGCAGTTTCTATTTCTGTTTCATACCTCCTGAAGGCAGCAACCCACTTTTATCTTGTCCTTTTAAAACTTTGAAAGAAAACTGGCCTGCTCACTTTGCCCAGTTGCTCATGCTAATCACATTATAGCATGGACAGTATATTATCAGGGTGAAGTAGTTTCACAAGCTCAATTGACCCCAAATTATTTCAATATGCCAGGCAGGCTGCCAATTTTGGCACCCACCCACCTTGCGCAAATCACACAAATGAATTCTTTTTGGAATGCATATATGATATAAACATTCTGTTACTGTATAATGCTGTGCAAACTGGAATCCCACACTGAACATCAATTCACTTTGATCTGAATATAATCACATGGAGGTGAGGATTAAAACAACTCCAAATGTTCAGAAAGTTGATTTCAAATATCAAATAATTGACAAATTAATGCCTACTACCAACCTGTTATAATCTCCATCATCAATTGCTGTGCCAAATTCAATTAGCCCTTCATCCAGAGTATAAGAAATAGTATTCACTCCCTCAGTAACTATGACTTCTGTTTTACCATTACTCCGTTCCAGATCTACAATATCACCCTATAGAGAAAATAAAGAAATGTAAAATGGTCAATTTGGAGAACATTTTCAAAATTTAGTGAGGACAATACGCCAAGCAGAGCTTTTATGGTTCAATATTTCTACTCTCTACTTCCATCCCCATGTCCCAATTCATTGCCCTGATCCTCCTGTCAACAGATAGTTGGTAACTGGATATAACTAGAAAGATGTGCATTCGAACTTCCTGAAATCCTGATGCGCTATGTGTTTACTGCCCAAGAAGTTTAAACTTCCAGTTAATAATTTTCCAGCATCTGGAACTATCCGCATAAGTCCATTAACCATGCAGTCATACACATTTACACCACAGAAGGTGCATGTTCGGCCTGTCATACACAAGCAAAGATCTGATCACACTAATCTCATTTTCCAGCTCTTCGCCCAAAGCCCTGGAAGCTATGGCAACACAAATGAATGTCAAAATACTACTTAAATGTTTCATGATTATCTGACTCAACCACCCTTGGAGGCAGTGAGTTCTCCCACCACCCTCTGGGTGAAAATATTTCTCCTCAACTCCCCTCTTAGCCTTCTATTTTTAAACTTATATCCCCATATTACTGATGTCTACTAATGGAAAAGTGCCTTCCACTCTATTTGGTTCCCGCTCAACTTTTGCTGCTCTAAGGAAATCAACCCTCAATTAGACTCGGAGGTATTGAAGGATTCTGCTTTACCCAGGAAAAGTTAGAGGATTAAAATTTGTTCAAACGCCTGGCTAACTATACTGTTGAAGCCCAATAACTTATACTGATACTTTCCCCTCCGAAACTCTCATTGACACCCTATGCACCACCCCTAACACCCATCCCCTCAACACTGAACGAACCCCACCCCTGACACCTGGCATTCACCTTCCAACCTCTGATTGACACCCCAACACCTGACCAAACCCCCAACACTTTACCAAGCACCTCTGACACCTGAGATTTGAGCCAACAGCATTAAAGGAAGACATAATGTAAAATTAAGCAGAGGGTTTAAGGAACTTTTAATTTAGTGGAGTTTTTTTTGTTTTCTCCAAGTTCAATTCTGAAAAAGTCTATGTATCTTATTTGCAAATAAAACATATCTAGGTTAAAATTAAAATGATTTGACATTGAAGCATCAATAAAACAACATATATAAATAAAAATGTTTAATTTACTCGATTTTACATAAACTTTTCCATACCTTAAGTGGAAACATTGTAACTCGCTCTGGAGCATCAATATTGTACCAAACACAGAGATTGCCACGGTTCTGGGCCACAGCCACATCACTGCCGGGTACCCACTGAACATAAGTGCAGTAATTCAGGACAGTTGTCTTTGTGTTGTCTTCTATATCAAACAGATGGAGCTGCAGTACAGAAGAACTAATTTTGTCATGAGAGATAGTTTTTTATTCCTAAAACTGTGTTTTGAGAAAATATTTACAGTGGCAATTTATCACGCGATCTGTTAAGATATATGGTGCATACTTATTGGGTATTTAAAATATTCTCGATACCCAACACTTTTCTTTCTCAATTAATGAAATTTAATTTTAAGTACTAATTTGAGGAATCCCTGTTAATTTCACTCCTCCGGATAGACACAATGTCCAGCTGTGCACCGACAGAATCAGCCCAAATTTGACAATGCACAAGTCTTTACTCATAGCAACCATAACATAACTGAAGCTGACTCCCTGTACAATGATACAGATACTGCCAAAACTCCTGCTGTATCAATATTTTAAATTTGCAGACAATAACCTTTTTGCATATTCTGCAGCAAAATTGTAAGAACTTACACCAAGTTTTTTGTCCCTGAAAAGCAACTTGCGTCCAGTTTCATTCAATTCTAACCAGTCAATTTTTGTGTCATGACTTATCGCAGCCAAGTTATAACCAGTCAACAGATCCACTAGGAAGAAAATAAAATAAGATTATTTTATGACCTTTATATCTCAAGCTATTTCAGCATCTGATTACTTTCTTCTACAAAATTTTCTTCCAAAAGGATGATTCAGTTGAAACTCTGGGTGAAATTTTCATAGAAGGTGTTATGACTTAATTGAGCTAGAGTTAAAAATCATATTAAATAAAAAACAAAAGAACTGCGGATGCTGTAAACCAGGAACAA